ACAAATTTTCGGGAGTCATTTTCTCCAAAAAAGTTTACTATGTTCCTAACCATATTTTGCTGGAAATCCCCCCATATACAGATTTTATCAATTACATTAAATATTAAATAACGCGCGTATAGTATAAATTATTTAAATTTTATTTGATAAACTTTTAGGTAATATCAACCAGCTTCTTTTTTGTGATTTAATTTTTTAATTATAATATTGGCTATTATTTAAATAGCTTTACTTGTTGACAGTAATTGTTTCTATTAATTACTTTAGAATAAAATGACTAAAAAAAATACATATAACCCTGACATGGTTCAAGAGAAAGAAGCAGAAATTGGGAAAGGTATAAAATACAAATAATTTATTTTACTTCTACTCCTCTTGTACCAACTCCTTCCGCCTCGCAAACTTCTGTTAGTTCAGGTATCAATGAAGGTAAAAACAACAAAAGAATCATGATACCTGTTGGTATTAATTTAATTAAAAATAACAGGATCTAGCACTACGGATATAATTTGAAACCTCAATAAAATAAACAATTGATAAAAAATCAAATGGATATGTTTCTAATCTTTAACATTCACCAGAAGGTTCGGAATATGATGAGGATCAAGTTGTAAGAAGGAAAGTTGTTATTAAAGACCTAAGTTGGAGATCGAATACTGCGTATTTTTTTATTAATTTAATTTACTTTCTTTTGTTCTTTTAAAAGCTTAAGTTGCTACTTTGAAGTTATCTTGATCAAATCTTTTGAGAGTTCCTCAAATACGAAAAAGAATATATGACAAGATCTACTAATGAGTCGAATTGGACAAGAGCAGGTTATAATGGTTCTTTAGCTAACGTAGTTAATAAGGCTGTTAAAAAAATACAAAAAACTTCAATTAGTAACACCTGATAAAAGAAGTAACTCTGAAGAGAGTTCTGAAAGTAAAGGAAAGGGTGATTCAGAAGAATCAAAATCATTTTACATTAGTTATTGTTATTCGAAAATAAATTAACCCACAATTATTATAAATTAGTGATGTGAGCCGGCTAAACCGGCTAAAAAAAATTTCTCTTAACATTCATTTTCAAGTCTAGAATTTTAGTGCAGAATTCAGTGGCATAGACAGTTGAGATGTATCCATCTGCGTTACTTAGAATGACAAAAAAACATACAATACTCGTCTTAGCAGGATAAAAGCAATAGAATTTCTATTAAATAATAATTCGAATTATTCGTTTATTCAAATTATTAGTTTTATTAGTTTTATTAGTTTTATTTGAATAAATTTTCAATGTAATTCGAATATCAAATTCATAAAACAAATAATTTGAATAAACCTTATTTGGATATAACGATAGTAAATAATAGTAATAGTGGTAATAATAATAATACCAGCAAGTTTAATACCACCTGAAAATTTCTTTCATCAACTGGGGTTCTTGGCCAGCTAAGTTTTTCTACTGACTAACAACCCTAAAATTAAAATCAATACTAACCAGAATGCTGATTGATTTTAGAGAACTATCTAAATGATGTCTGATTAATTAAATAAAGTTCAATCAGTATTGGTTTTGGAGTTGGTTTTCAAGTTATTATTAAAGTAATTAGTTATTTAAATTTGAAAAATACCATCATCTCAACAAAATAAATGCTGAATAATATGCAAAGAATGTCATAAATATCTTTTATATAGGTTATTGATTGGTGTCAATTTGTGGCATCATTCAGTAACTAATTGATATCAGTCAGGTTATTTTTGACAGCAACCCCAAAGTCTAATCGGATACCTTTGGGTTTACTAATTGATTAAAATATTCTCATTTAGTAATAAATCAATTCTTTGTTTTATTTCAATCAATATGTTATAGTGAATAAACATAGGATTTTAAAATCAGGCAGACTAGTAGTAGGATGCCGAGAGGAAAATAATAATAAATAAACCCCAATTTGAAAATAGGGATTTTAATTCAAGAAAAGATGTTCTATATACAACATTTCTTAAATAATGAATGAATACAGATTAGTCCAAACTATTTTCAAAAAAAAAAAATGTAGCTCTGGCATCTCGATATTTCTATAAAGAATGAACATGAACAACTATATATCCAATTTCAGCTACAGTGTGTAACAAAAATCATTGGAAAATTGTTCGCGTTGTTTAAATACGTGTTTTGTATATACTCAAATTTGCATCGCGTCAATTTCAAAGCAAACACAAGTAATAAATTTGTCTTTTTGGGTTGTTTTTTTGTTTATTATTTTTCAATTGTTGTAAAAAATTAACATCAAAATGTCTACATCCGACCAAGAAAGACAACGTCAGACTCTATTACATTTCTGAAACCAGGGCGTGAGGTCTGCCAAAGAACTTCACACTCTGACAAAGATTCCCCTTTCTACTATATATTTAATATTAAAAAAATTAAAGAGACAAATAATATTTTGCATAAAGGTGGTGGTGGTCGACCAAAAAAAATTACTGCGGATATTTCACGTTCAATCGGGCAGATTATCAGAAGAGATACCGTAAGATCATTGGTAAACAAAGTAGCAGGAAAAGGAATAGAAGTGTCTCACATGACTATTTCGAGACATTTATCCAATCCTGGTTATAAAAAAAGCCTCCCGCAAGTCACCCCATGCTAACAATGGTTCACAAGGAGAAAAGAGTTAAATGGGCAAGGAAACACTTAAATATGACCCAACAAAAAAAGAAATGGATATGTATCATTTATCCAGGCTATTAAAAGTCATGCTAGATGAAAATTTGGCCCAAGCAGAAGTTGAAGGGGTACATAAAGCAAAATTATATACCATCGGAATACGAGTAAAAGATCAGTTTGAAATTTCATTTAATTGTTGTATAGATCTAAAAGTGATTGTAAAAATTTTTTTAATTTAGCAATTTCAGAAAGTTGTACGAATATATATTTATGGAAAAACATGATGTATACAGACTTCACCTTTTAAAACAATTCTCACTTCCTACCGCAGCTTGCTGATTATGCCAAGCTTCGAATTGCAATATGTTGGGCCTGGAATATAAGGGTAGATTTATTTTTTTTTCTCTTTGTTGTTTTTTTAATAATCTTTAATATGTATTGATTGTTATTTCATTGCTTTGTTCAGTGTATGGTAAGAAAATTGTGGATTGACTCTTCTAAAGAAATTTGTGCATCTCCTACAAGAATCAAGGTAACCAATCAACAAAACATAGAAACACCTAATACACCAGAAAAACAGCCAAAAAGAAAAACAATAAAAAAAAAAATGATTAAAACTATTTCTTGCAATATCTCTCATTTCATTTATAAAATAATTCAAGATAATATAAATAAAGATTAACATATTGAGAAAAAATAACAATATCTATTTCCATTAATATTAATAAAATACTTTTAATGTTAATAGGACGCTGATGATGTTAAACAATTTTGATCCCTGAAATTCTTGGTAAATACAAATGTTCACTTTGTCTGATTTTGTTGCAGTATGCCCCATATGATGTCTCGTGGTAAATTATTATCATTAATACCACCAGAAAAAAGGGGATTTGTATTTAAAATTCGTAATGAAATATCAAATAATGTTCTAATGAGTCCTGATATAGAAAGTGTAAAAGATTATTATTTTTCATTAATCAAAAAAACAAAGAGCTTTCTGAGAATGAAAAAGAATATTGTAAAGAATGGTTTCTTTATAATTTACTCATTATAACTATTTATATTTTTATTTTGTTTTTTAAATTATAATAATATTTCTTATAATAAACTTTTTTTTACAGTTTTCTGATTCTTGTTAAATGGTGATATTGCAAGGTAGTCTTTTAGTTAATGCTGATTTACAGTTTAACTTTTTGGGCTACTCTTGTCAGTTAATTGCAAGCAACTTACAATAATTTGATGCTTATCAATTAATTAATTTACAAATTTACTTTTAGTCTTTGCTTACTGTCTCTTTCTTGTATGTGAATCTGTAAGCACATTTGATTAAAGCTCCAAATGAGCTGAGCCGAGTTTATGCTTAGCTTGAGCTCAACTCAACTCGAATCAAGGTTGTGTGACAAAAATATTTTGGGGTGTAAAAAATATTTTGTCAAACAGGGTACATCTGACTAAATGTGACAAATGTGATGAAATATGACAAAAATGATGAAAATGACAAAGGTCAAAGGTCAAAAGTCAAAATCAATTGATTTTTGTCTTTGGTCAATTAGAACGGTGCTTTCATAAAAGTTAGACAAAAGAGCTTGGGCATTTTGTTTTTTGTTTATTTCATTGTTTTATTGATTGTTAATTTCATCCAAATAAAAACAAGCAATAGAATAATGACATCCAGGGCTAAATGAGCCTTGAGTTTAAAAGGTGTTCTACGATTCCAGGTTTTTGGACAAGATTTGCAAGATGCTGAGTAATGTCCTTTTACTTTTTCCATGCATCAGACACAGGACATCCAATCCTTGATTATTGTTCCCAAATTTAATGTTTATAAATTCATATTATATGATGACGATTGAGAAGGAATTGGTGAATAACCAAAAATTTAAAATCCACAGAATAATTATTTATTTTATTGTAATTTTCGTCAAGTTTCTCAAAGTGTAGAAATCCTATTTCGTTACATTTACTTTCATCATGTGATGAAAAGGAGACATTCGTCACCCAACCTTGACTTAAATATGCAAATTTGAAACTCGAGTCAACTCGAAATTTATTATTATTTTTTTTTTTTTTTGTAAAATCACGATTTTGCAGACCACCAAAAATAATTGAAGTAATAATGAATTGTATAATAATAACACAGAACATTTAAATCATCATAAATAATTTTATGACAGACTAAAAATTTCAAATGAGAACAATTTTGTGTTTTAATATTTGTTTCTAATAAAAAATTTTTAGATTCTGAAATATATGCATAAGAAAGTTGCATTCAAAGTAACGCGAATTTAATTATAATTCGTTGAAACGACTGTATAAATACAGAAATAGTTTTATTCGTTTGTTCGTTTTGTTTATTCATTTTAATTTTTTAATTTTTTATTTTTTATTCTAATTATTCTAAATATTCAATCATCCGGACCATTCATTTTATTTGTTTATTCGAATCATTCGAATCAATCATTTATTCGTTTATTCGTTTATTCAAATCATTCGAATCATTTCTTTTCTTCGCTTTATTCTCTAAGTCGGGCAGACTCAATTTAAATTTGAATTTTCAAGTTCGAGCTGAGTTCAAGTAAATGGGCCCTTAAATTGCTTTTTATGTTATTGTAATCACTGACAAAAAATTAGTTTATATATGAATTTTGACCCAGCTGCGGCAGTAACCTATGAAATTTGCGGGGTCCTCCAGAAAAGAGTACGTGAAAATTGTTTGTTACACGCCATTCAAATTAATTCTTTGCAGAAAGGAAATAATAAAGAATTCTCACAGTACAAAAAAAAAATTGTTTTCTCCACTCTATTCAATAAAACACAATAATAGATTGAGTCAAGTCAAATTTTAAATTTTATAAATATATTTATTTTTATATGATGTCTCATGGTAAATTATTATCATTAATACCACCAGAAAAAAGGGGATTTGTAATTAAAATTCGTAATGAAATATCAAATAATGTTCTAATGAGTCCTGATATAGAAAATGTAAAAGATTATTATTTTTCGTTAATCAAAAAAAACAAGGAGCTTTCTGAGAATGAAAAAGAATATTGTAAAGAATGGTTTCTTTATGCTTCTGAATTAAATAATGTAACATATAAATGGGGTAGACCAAAAAAATGTAACAAATGCAAATCAACAAGATATTCTGATAGAATCTGTGAAGGATGTATCACTTTACAACTACAGACTCTTTTCACTACTTGGTCATCTGGAAATAACATAATTGATGATTTTATTCAACAATGTCAAATGAAATCATCTCTGCCAACTGGAATCATAGAATGGATACCTTTTGAGCAATTTGAAAAAGTAACAAAGTTGACAGAGGGTGGATTTAGTTCAATTTATACTGCTACATGGACAAGGGGGTGTATAGTTGATTACGATGAAAATAAAAAGGAATTTAGTTATCATGGAGAGAGAGATGTAGTATTAAAAAGTTTAAATGATTCAAGTAATCCAGGAAAAGATTTTTTTGAGGAGGTTGGTAATTGTCATTCAAAACAAAATAAACAATACTCTATTATATAATAATATTAATTGAAATTTATATTCAATTTCAGGCAATGAATTATTGTAAAATTAAATCAGTAGGAATTAATCCTTGCTATGGTATAACCAAATTCCCAGATAATGGAAATTATGTAATTGTTCTAGATTATGCTCCAGAGGGAAATTTAAGGAATTATTTGGAAAAAAATCATTTAAATTTAACATTAAAAGATAGAATTACAATCATTGATTATTTATGTTTTTCATTAGATGATATACATGAAAAAGATTTAGTCCATTGTGATTTACATAGTGGTAATATACTTCTGGAAGGAGGTAATTGTTATATTACAGATTTAGGATTGTGTGGACCAGTTGATGAAAAATCATCAGATAAAATCTATGGAATTGTATCATATGTTGCACCTGAGCTACTTAGGGGCAAAAAGAATACAAAAGAATCTGATATCTATAGTGTTGGTATGTTAATGTGGGAAATATTTGCAGGTCATCCACCATTTGATGATAGAGCTCACAATCATTGTTTAATTTTTGATATATGTGAAGAAGGTTTACGACCACCAATATTACCAGGAATGCCTGATGATTACGTACAAATGATGCAGAGGTGTTGGGATGTGGACCCATCAAAAAGACCAACTAGTAGAGAGCTGAGTAACTTTGCTTATAAAAAACATATGGAAATTCGTGGTAGTGATTGTAACAGCAGCAGCAGTGGTGGTGTTGGTTTTGGTGTTAGTGATTTGCAACAAGTACACAACTCACATCCAGATGCATACCATACAAGTAGAATATTGAACGAAGAGATTGCTAGATCAAAAAGCTTTAAAAGTTATACAATTAATGACAGTTCATTAAATAATTTTGATTTTAGCTTTCATGAATAAAAATTTCATTATCAATTAATTGGAAATTACTATCCATTAATTATTACTAGCAATTTGATTGATTAAAATAAACATTAGATTCTAATAATTAAAAGAAAGTATACATTACACTATAAATTTATTTGTTATAATTATTTATCTTTTATTTCTAAATTATATAATAAACTTTTACAGTTTTCTATTCTTGTTAAATAATGATATTGCAAGGTAGTTTTTTGGATCTTCATGACAAAAAAATATATTTATTGATTCTTGTAAATAATTATTAAATTCGTGTTGGTTACAACATGGAAAAAGATAGCAGCAAAAGTTAAAAGGCCGGCAAGAGAAAAACGGAAGGCAATCAAGTGTCATTGAAAGTAAAAAGGTTTTACGACCTTGGAAAGAAAATAAATACATTCATTGATATGCAAATCAATTTTTACAAAAAAAATGGATTTGCAATTTCCCAAAATCAAGTTTAATAAAAGTTGATTTTCAGATCACATCATGCATGATCAATAGAGAGTATTTATCACGACTGCAAATCCTTTTTATAGATAAAATTACCAATCACTTTAAAAAAAATCCAATTAATCCTGTTGTTTTCATACGTTAAAAAGATTTTTTCTAATCCAAAATATTATCAAGAAAAAATCAATAAACTTTTAAAAATGGAAAATACTTTAAACGAAAATAAACATCATTTTACTTCTACGGATGATAAATATTCAATGGAAAGAAAGGAACATTTTGGTAAATGTCCAACTTGCAATAGATATAATACTAGTCATTCATGGTGTCAATCATGTGATCCAAAGCTATTAACTGAAGGATGGACTAGTGGTAATAAAATGATAGATGAGTTGATTAAAAGTACACAACTTAAAGCAACTATGTATGATACCACTTATTGTTACTATCTTCAATGGATTCCTTATAATAATTTAACAAATATTGAAAAGATAGGTGAAGGTGGTTTTGCAACTATATACAGAGCCACTTGGTTAAATGGTAACAAAGTTACAACTGATAATGGTGGAAGAGCTAATGAAGATATGCATGTGGCAATAAAAAAATTACATAATTCACAGAATGTTTCTGATGAGTTTCTTAGTGAGGTAGATTATTTTGTTAATATTAGTTTTGGATTTTTTTAAATATTATTATTAAATAATCATTTTATTTTAGTTGAGAAATTATGAAAAGTTTCAAGGTAAAAATTATATAATTCGTATTTATGGGCTATCACAAGATCCAACTACAAAAGAGTATATATTTGTAATGGATTATAAAAGTGATGGAAGTCTTCAAAATTATTTAACAAAAAATTTTAAACATTTAAAATGGCAACGGAAAACTGAAATTCTATTAAATATAGTTTATGGTTTAAGAGATATTCACAAACAAAATATTGTTCACCATGACTTTCATAGTGGTAATATTCTTCAAAATTCAAACTCTTCATATATTGCAGATTTAGGATTATCAATTCCAACAGATCAAGCATCGTCAAATAAAAATGATATATTTGGAGTACTACCATATGTTGCACCGGAAGTTTTAAGAGAGAAACCATATACACCAGCATCAGACATATACAGTTTTGGAGTTTTGATGTCTGTAGTATCAACTGGCCAACAACCTTTTAATAATTTGGCACATGGTCTAGATCTTGCAATGAGAATATGTGAAGGTGTAAGACCAGGATTTTCAAACAATACACCAAAATTCTATATTGAATTAGCTTACAGGTGCATGGATGCTAATCCAGATAAACGTCCAACTGTTGAAGAAGTCTTTAACATTATTCAAAAGTGGAATTATGATTTTGATAATTTAAGAAAAGAATTTGATAAAATGGATGAAATAAAATTTGATCCTTCAACAATTACTGCAACAATTCATCCAAATGCTGTTTACACTAGCAGATTATTAAAATTTACAAGCCTTCCCCAACCCGTGAATTCCAATAGAGTGACAATTATCGGAAATTATGGTGGTAATTATTAACATTTAATCATTTGTTAATTTTAAAATTTACAACATTTGTTAATATCCACTCTTTTGATAAATTTTTTTTAGATTCTCAACAGATTGAATTAAATATACCAGACGAATTACCCCAATAAATTAAAATCTTGTCGTTGTTTATTTATTTCCAATTTATATATTTTACAATTGACTACTATATAATATACATACACAAAATAAATTCAACAAGCGCATATTATAAAAAATAAATAAATATATATTTGAGCCATGGATTTGACTGGATGATTATTTTTCCTTATGAATATAATAATAAATCTGATGACATTGATTACAGATGTCAGATTTAATAAATTTTCTTATCACAAACAAGTCAACAGTACGCTTTCACACTCCCGTAACTGCGGATTTTTTTCACAGATAAGGTGAAAACATGTTGGAAAGCTTTTATAATTTCCCATATCTTTCCCTCAGACCAGACTTGGCTGGAATTGATCGCTGATGAGAGTCAACATTCATGTGATGATTGCTTTGTGTTATCCCGGCCTGCTGCAATCTCCAGAGTTGCGTCTTCTTGGTTACAGGACTACCCATCTTTATCCTAAAAGTAGGGTCGTTGCAAGAAACTTTCAGCCCGCATGCATATCCAGGTAACGTCAGCTCAGATTCTATGAGAGAAGATTAAGATTTACGAAGCATCATTGACAACGATTCAGCTTCGATAAACTTGACAAACCCCAGAACCATACTACCAATCAGGAATTTAGCAACATCGTTGTATCATCGGCGAAGTCGGGTTAGCCTTGTGTACATGAGGAATGTAGAGAATGACTATAAAATGATCAAGGTAACTATGTGCTCCAACACTTGTCAATTTCCGATAATTAAACGTTATACAGCGTGTAACGAAAATAATGTCGGTGACAAAAAGTTGCATATTAATATCTCAACAAATATTGAAGGTGGGCTCTTTCACAATTGCAAAGCATAATTAAATAGATTTAGATTCATTTAAAATAAAAAAATTTATATTGCCAATTTTTTTCACAAAATTTTTGACTTAAAAAATTTGACATGAAATTTTTTAACGCAAAATTACATGCTTCTATATTTTCTAGAACTTTTTGTCAATTAAAAAATAAAAGAAATCCGATTATTTTTGAAAAAAAGTATATAAAACCTTGGGTCAGACAGCCATTAACCTGCTTATGTTCAATAGTACTCATTCTTTAGGCATTTTGAAATTATGTTCAACGGTATGAAAGGAAATATTCATTTCCTGATGTATTTTTCCTTGATGAATGAGCATTGTCAGGCCAGTAATGTAAATAACGTAAAACATTTTGAAGTTAGGACTCAATCTTCGTGAAACACGTGCTTATATGATGCTAGAGATAGAAAGTAGAAGTAGATGAAGCCTTTTATTTTATAAATGTCTTCAATGAGAGATAAGAAGCTGGTAAAGATATGCGAATCATGATAAACAACACATTTTATTGTTTGTAATGCAAAATAATGTTGTATCGTGAAGCGCCATTATTTTCTTATATTGTCTGCAACAGCTATATTGCTTTTGTGATTATATATTTAATATTAATATTATTACGAAAAGTAAAACTGATGCCAATCGTTTATTATCGTGATAGGAATTTTCTATGTAATTACTAAGCAGACAAGTTCTGTTACAAGGTTTGATTTCAATAATATAAAATAAAAGACACATCAATACATTTACAATACAAATAAAAAATTATGTCCCTATCGCCGTCAATAAACAACGTGTCTTCTTTAGGAGAACCATATCAGATAACATTTCCTCGTCTTGTAAAAAATAAATAATAGAAGAAAATAATACCAAAAAGGCGAGTCTTTATATCAACAAGTGTTATTTTTTTGCAATTCATCGTCATTCTAGTTATGCTATACGTATCATAACTATACGCTTGCCCATCTCTAGTAAAAATAAATATTTTAATAATTATTTGAATAAAAAAAATAACCATCGAGCGCATGCATATAATACTTGAGCTTTGTTCTTTCGGAATATATAACATCATAATTCATACCATCATACAATAACTCATGAAATAGTTCTTTGTCACGTTCAATGGATTGAACAAACGCCAATACATGTGGTTTTAAGCCTTCTTGTATTAACTGACAAACTGGTACCAATTTACCCTCTTCTTGTCCAACATAAGCAAGCTTTTGTTTAATAGTTTCTGTTGCCGCGTTCCTTTGAAAATAAAAAATAAAGAATCTGTATAAATTTTCCCAGGCACTTTTATTATCAAGTAAAATCTTAATATAAATACTTGTTGCCAATAACAATCCTTATTATTATAGGATCTTTCATAAAATCATTAGTGTCATTTGTAATTTTGGACATACTGCAAATATTTAACACCAAAATAATGATTTTTGTCAAAAAAATAAATGTTTTCATTTTTTTATAGCATCAACAAGTTGGAGTAGCGTGTTCATCAATATATCTTAATAAATAATAAATTTATTAGTAAAAATATTAAAAATTTGAATTCGAACCATCTAATTAAAGTTCCAGACGAGCCGAGCTAGCTCGAGTTGAAGCTCGAATTTTCGAGCTTGATGCTACATAAATTTTTTCTTTCAGGTATGATTAATTTCATAATACTTTTATCTTATTTATGCAAACCATTACCTAAAAACCAATTTAAAGGACCTATTTTATTGAACTCGGTTCGAACTTGAAAATTCAAGTTTTAACTCGAGCCTGTTCAACTTGGGGTTTCTAAATAAAACGAATAATTCAAACAAAATGAATAAAAGATGGTTTGTATTTTTGTTTTAATTATCTGAGCAAACGTATTTTAGAACCTAAAATGGGTTTATTAAAAGCACAAATATTGCCAAAACACTGACTGATTATATATAATTTTTAAATATGTTATACAATTTATTATAGTTTTATGGTTTTACTTTTTACTTTTATAATTACATATTCAATTATTTCATGGTCTGCAGAATCGTGATAAATTCCAAGCGTTCAGAGCTTTAAACTTGATACAAAGTATAGTTGTTTGCTGAAATTGTTTATGAACTATTAGATTAAAGAGTTTTGTAATTTCGACAACTATTTAATTTTAATTACCATGAAAAACTGTGATACAAAGGGCAAAATGGCAATTTGACATTTATAAATATGGGAGATAATGAAAAATCCAAGAATCAAAGCAAAAAGGTCAAATCATAGATAATTTGATTTTATATAACAATAGAGTAAGAACTTGCACAAAAATCATGATATAATTTTGGGAATTGCTTAAAATAAATTATAATCATTTTTTTATTCACAGACAATATTTATTTTGTAAATTATTTGTAATTATGGAATTTTAAAAAATAAATATAATCAACTGAAATATATATATACTCTAGTCAAATGATAAAAAAGATAAATCTTTCATATTAATTTGTTTCATATAATTAATTAACTAGATTCAAACAATCAACCACACAATTATCATCAATAAGGTTATGTTCATTAAGTTTATATAAATGATTTGTAAAATCAAAAATCAAATCTTGTTCTACTATTCGCTTCTTATATGAAGTTGAAAATTCTCTAATAAGATTTGGCAAGTTTTCATCTGAATGTCCCTTATAAAATGAAGCCCTATAAACATGAAATTCATGAGAGAATTATATATATATATTAGTATTAATAATTATTTTTTAGAATAATAATAAAACAAAAATAATTTTTACATTTGTGGATCTATAAATTCATTCCACAGTTTCATTAAAAGTTTTGTACCATCATTAACATTAATTTTTTCATCCAATTCCTAAATATGTATAGATCATGTTAGTTAATATAGAAAATTCTAATTATCAAAAAATCACTTTAAAATCACCTCGTTGTTTTGTTGTGTCAACCAATGTCTACAAATTTTATCCTCAAGCTCCAATTTATTTGTATTCTTTCTGTAAGGCATAAATGAATAACAATGATAAAAGGTTTTTTTTGACAGTTTTAATATGGATGGTGTTTCGGTAACTTTTTCTTTTATATATGCAAAAGGCTTTGGAATTAATTTTTTGTTCATTGTAAAATAATCAAAAATTGTATGTTTATTATTTGCAGTCACCATTATTATTCTATAGTCGTTCGATTTAAATGGCTACAAATAATTAATTAGAAAAATCAATGATTATGTAATAAAAAATTATTTTAATAATAAATTTACTTACTTTACCTTATATTTGAAATGTATGTGAGTAGTGTATAAGTGTTGCATCAAGCTTATAAAATCGTTAAAGGTAAGTATAGTGCACCAAGGACATTGAAATCCATTGACAGTTTGATGTAATTCACAATCAGAAGCATGAAATATAAATTTCATAGATGGCAATTGTTCATTTTTTCGGATAATAGTGTCATTATTATTGCATTTGATCACTGGTTCAAGCTTTTTTAACCGAAGATTTGTTTTGTAATCCCAATAAACTGAAAATCTTAATTTCCATTTTGAAAATGACGATTTATTATTATTTGCTATCAACACATGATTTTCATAGTTTCCATCACTAATTAATTTTCCAGAATGGACAATGTCAATTTGAGAATATAACACTTGATCTCTCTCGGAACAGTCAACTAGATTATTTATTAAGTTTAATGGAGTCGTACAATTGAGCACACGTGAATATTCTATTGAAGAATTCACTGGTGGCCATAGTTTGGAGTTAGTGCAATAAATATGAAAGTGTAACACAATATCATATGATTGTAGTGACGTAATATTGGATTTGTCAGATTGATCGTGACTTATTGCAAAAAGTTCTATTGGTGATATGTCATCGGCAAAATAACATTCAGGCCCTGGTTTTAATGAAAATTTTGTTTGTTTAAGTATTTTCAACACTTGAGAATTAGCAACAGTAGTTGGACGCTTTCTATTTGTTATCAATGCTGTCGATGTTGTAGATGTTGTCAATTGTTGCTAAGATTTATTTATTATTATTTGAAATAAATCAATAATACTTTTCTAATTGAAAATTTTTATATAAAGATTACATAATAAATGTACCTTTTTAATTTTGTATACAATGACCTCACATTCAATTTGAAGATTTATATCAATGTCACTTGGATCGGAGGCTATTAAGAGTAAATCTGTTAGTAATTAATGAATTTAATAATTTTCTATTTTAGAGATAAAAAATCCAATGTTACCAAAAAAACAAATTTTTTCAGAATTTAAATATAGAGATTTTTCACTTCGGCTTTATCAATCAAACCAAAAAAAATCATATATAAATAATAATTAGATATATAAACAATAATATTTTATTTTTAAAAAAAAGATAATAATAATAATAAATACCTCGTAGACACTAACGATTCTTCGGTTTCTCTTTGAGAGAGCCATTCAATAAGCAAATTTTTTTTATTTTTTAGAATGACTTTTTTTTTTTGAGTATGTAATCGTTTGGATTTGTTAATGTATGATAGATTCCTTCTAAGAAATCTCATCTTTGAAATTATGATCATGAAAGGTAAAAAAGATTTTAATCACTGTTACAATATTTTTAGAAAACCAAGGAAATGTTGTATATATTTAAAACGTACAGGTCTTTTATAAAGTAACCAGACGTATAAGCATGTTGGACCTTAATCATAAAATAGTATTATTAAAATGTCTGCCGTAACGAAGACGAAAATTTAAAAAAATTTTTTTTTTACCAGCAAAATCTTCGCGAAATAATTCGGTAACTTCTTCTTCAGTTTTTTGTTCAGCCATTAACAAAAAAAAAAAAAATATGTAGGAATTAAGGAATAAAATCAGTTCTTCGTTATCTGATGCCCACCTACCTCGGTTGCACTAAAACCTCATTACCCTTTTCAGTACAAGATAGTCCCATTTTTTATCCAATCAAATAAAGAACGGATCGGTATATTTGAGTAGCACATAATTTTTGGCCAATAAAAATCAAGTTTTTTTCGATTTTCAATTTTTTCAATTTTCGTAATGTCATATTATTTTGCAATAGTTGGTACAAAAGATAATCCAATTTATGAACTTGAACTTGGAGGAGCTTCAGGTATGGTAAAGTCATTGTCTAGTAGTGGTGGAAGTGGCGTAGGTGGTGGTGCAGGTGGCGGTGATCCTAATTCAAAGGTATAAATAATAACGAAGAATATTTGATTAATTAAAAAAGTAGAGGGAATAAAAAAAGATTTATCTGATTTTTTAATTGAGTTAGAAAGATGAAAATAGACATCTTAATCAGTTTATTGTACATTCTGCTTTGGATTTAGTTGAAGAAATGCAATGGAATACTAATGCAATGTAACTAACTTTTCTCATGCTCTAATTAGTTTTTTGTAATTGAATTTATATATTAATATTGTTTAGAATAATTAATTCAATACTGTTGATATTATATTGAAGGTATTTGAAATCAATTGATAAATTTAATGAGTGGCACATTTCTTCAATGATTTCAGCTGGAAGTAAGAATTATCTATTTATTTATTCATTTAGTTAATTAGTGATTAATGATTAATGATTTGAGAATCATCAATTAAAAAATCTATTTTTTTTAAAAAAAAAAAAGATATAAAATTAATGTTGTTGCATGAAACTAAAAATGAAGATGGAATTAGAAATTTTTTTAATGAAGCCTATGAACTTTATATAAAGGTAAGAGATCATAATATTCTATTATTTGAGAGAATATTTAATATTATTGATTTATCTAATTAGTATTATGTTAATAAAGATATTAATGAATCCGTTTTATGAAGTTAATTCAACAATAACATCTGTTCCATTTGATACTAAAGTTAAATTCATTGCCAAAAAATATTTATAAAATAGAGGAAAATATTTATATTCTAATATATTTATTTATAATTATAATTTACAAATTTTATTTAAATAATTTATTCTAATTTTGTATATTATATTTATAATGATATATTGTTTTTTGATTTTCATTCACCTTATTTTTTTTTAAATTCTAATAATAATAATAATTGAAACCTAATGTAATAATAATAATAATAATAATAATAGAAATTAGATTATATTATATCTCCAACATAATATTATAAAATATAATATTTTGTTACTCTTTTAATTAGAGATCGTCGTATGCTATTATTTTACGTTTAGATCTTGGGTCCATTACAAGATTAGTTGGTGTAGATGACGGAATTGATGTCGGTGAAGGATTAAAAGATTCTAAAAAAAAATTTGAATAAATAAATCATATAATAAACAAATATTAATATTGTATACAAATAATTCTTTATAGTAAATTACTGTTTAATTTAGAAATATTATAAGTGTTTTGATTTTGTGCATTATATCGAATTGGTTTATCTGCATTTTGTTTGGTAACAATCGCATCTGAAATAATAAGTATATTATTACTTTTATTTTTGTAAACTAACGAATCTATAATAATAATAACCTGCATCATTCCAAGGACCATATCCATTGATACTTTTTTCAGGTCTTATTGCTCGATTTACTTTTATATTATTGTTATTAAGAAAATATTTTAACATTAACTATATAATTAATCATATATATATATAACTAGTTGACCAATTCGTCAAATGCGTGTACCGGTTATATATCCTGATCCCAACAAACAACCATTCATTCGACGACGTGCTTCGGTAGCACCTTTTTCGGTATCAAAATCGATAAATGCGATACTATATATATAAAGAAATTGTATTTATTATAATATTATTTTTGTAATAATGATATTATAAAAACGCAATTCAATTAGCCTACCCTTTCCCAGGCAACATATCAACTTTTTTGATTTCGCCAAATTTTTCAAAAGCGCCATGTAATTCACGTTCAGTAACATCTCGAAGATCACCAACGTATATTTTTGTCATATAGAATTCCGAGTCAGCAATACCTTTACCACCTGTCACGTAGAAATCTTCTTGACTATAACTGTGACAGTTATGATGATTACCAGATCTTCTTTCTTCGAATCCATTATGGTGTCTTCTCCTGCATCTTTTGTAATCATCCTCACTATCTGAAGATCTTCTTGACCATGTTCTAGTACTACTGCGTTTTCTACTTTCGCTATTATTATTATCATTACCAATATCATTATTATCATTAATATCATTATTACTATTGTCAATACGACTAATTCTTTTATGTATACCACCGCCACCATTACCAAAACCCTCTTTATAGTAATCAACATCTCCGCTATCATTATTTTCTTCCTGATAGCTGCCACGATAAAAATTATCAGCATCATCACTATCTGAATGTCGGTAATAAGAACTTTTTCTTGACGGAACATATCGATCATAATGACGATGATATCTATTACTACTACCATGGTGATGATGATGATGAGATTCATTATCATTATATCGGTTACTATTTGATGGACGATACAAAGAATCGTCACTAGTATTTCTTTGTCTAGATGAACTATCGTCATCGTCATCATCATCATTGTTGTTGTTTAATGTTGTGGACAATGATGATGATAAATTATTATTTCGTTTCCTTTTTCTTCGTCTAATACTACTATTACTACTGCTTCTACTCCTACTTTTTTTCCTTGATGATAATGATAATTTATGATCGTAATTTGAATGTCTTTTTTCATCATTACAATCATCATCATCATTGTTATCATCCTTATTATCAATAATATGATTACAAGAAACTTCTCCAATTTTTTTTTTCTTACTACTACTATTATTACTGATAGCAGATCTTCTCCTCAGCATTCTACCAAATTCATCTACCTCTACATTTTCACTAATATATTATAAGTAAATCGATAAATCAATAAATCCATCAATCAATTGATTGATTGATCGGTTACTATAATCAAAAAATAATCAAAAAACTTAGCAAAGCCTTACCTATCATTATCTTGTTCAATCTTTGAATCATTCGTTTCTTGCTTATTATCATTAATTTTGTTTGTATCGGAAGAAGAAATACTATTGAAAGAATCCATTGATTTAATAAATTGTTCAGAACCATTTGTTTCTTGGGCCTTGATTTTTTTTATAATATTAAAAAAAAATAATTTGGTTAATAATTGTTATATACACGTAAAAATTTGCTTTTAATTGTTTCTATAATTTTTACTTCATTCTTCAAAGCTTACCATTACCATGCTTTTTTTTAAAAAAATTTGAAAAAATTTTTCAAAAAAAAAAAAAAGTCGCACACAAAAGTTGCGATTATTTTTATAGCGCCACAAAACAAAACTGTTTCGACGCCACAATCATATAAACTTCTAAATTTTTCTAAACATGGAAATTTCCAAAGTTCTAATCATCGATCGTATTAGTATTAGTATAATAATAATAATAATAATAATCGAACCCTTGTTGTGAGGTCATATGTGGCACACTGCAACAAAACCAGACAGTGAAACATTGGTATTACCAAGAATTAATTGTATTATCATGATATTTGTCTAGACAAAATTAGTTAATATGTGTGAAATTAATTTACATTAGATCTACGTACAATGGAACCCAAAAATTATAGTACTATCAGAAGTATTTTGAAGAAAGAACAAGGTGAAAAAATTGCTCCTTACATTTTTAAATTAGCAGATATCAAATCTTTGCAAACATATTTAGACAAAGAAAGGATTACCTATGAAATTTATCAAAGAGGAAAGAGTTTTCAAAAGAGTATTAGAGAATTCTAGTAAAGAATCAAAAAAAAAAGAAAACTGGCAGAATAACTTGATAAACCATATAATTACTTTTTTTCAACTTTGTTAATTTTTTAATTGCCTTTTATTTTCAATCAAGATCATCTTTTAGTCTCCTTAACTTCAATTTGAGCAACTAATTAACCATTTTACTGTTGTAATTGGGTTAATTGAAATTTTAAATCATTGATTTCTTTTATTAATTCTAGCCCAATTTTTAAAATTATAAAATTCGAATTTATGGGGAGTTAACTCTTTTAGTTGCTTATTTTCCTCTTCTAAATGCTTAATTCTATCCAATAACTCTTGTTTTTGTCTTTTATGCCAATCCTCAGCCACTCCCGAAGCCTCTAAATGAGTTTCTACTTCCTCAGTCAATTTTTTTCTTCCCTCAAACCATTTATATGTGTTTCATAAAAAGTGCCATTCCCCCATTTTGATGAGGCAAAAGAGGAAGTTCTTTTCATTTTCCTCTTCTTTACAATCACAAGTGTATCTAGACTTTAGCCTTCCACAACTACATTTAGGCAACTCATCATTTTCAAACTTCTCTTTGCAATTCTCACAAGCCTTATCACTTTCAACCATTTCACCAGTTGCTTTGCTTCGTGTTCTGATTTGACAAACTGCTTTTTTCAAACCAGGGCAAAAAACACAAGTAGTATTACTGCTATGTCATCCTTCTAACTCATTGATTTCTTCTTGCTCCTCATGTCAAACCAACAAAATTTCTGTAAGTTTGTTTTCTAAATCTTCAACTTGCTCTTTATACTTATTCAATTCTGCTATTTTCTTTTCATACTATCTCTTTTGTTCAGTAAGTTGATAACCTCTTTCACTTCAATTTGAAATATAACTAGAACAACTTGTAGCTAATTCTTTGAACTATCAATAAACTCCACTAACATTTCTTCAATTGTGATGTTGTCAAATCAAACTCTTTTACAATTTTTGGCTCATTCCCTTGTTTCATTAGGATCTATGGCCATTCTTAACTTACCTTCCTCTAATCATTTTTTGTTTAGTTCCTTATATCATCAATGACCAGGGACATAACTATCTTCATCAGATTTACCAGTAAGGTGTCAAATTTTTAATTTAAGTTCTTCTATTAATTGTTCTCTTTCTTGATCTTTATCAGCTAACTGCTTTTCTAAATCAGCAATTTTATTTAATAGTTCTTTATTTGCTTGTTGTTGTTCATTTATTATGTTTTTCATGATTTACTTGCTTGTTCCTTTTTATTTATTCTTTTAATATATTTATATCCTTCTTATGATGATATATTAAGTGTATAAATTATTTTAGTACTTTTTACTTTAAAGTGGGAAAAGCCAACAATATTTGTCAAAAGATTAAACTTATTAAACTTAATGACAGTAAGGGGACAAATTAACAAATGTGATAAAGTAATGAAGGTGATTTTATTCTAAATATTCTATTCATTGCCAGTATATATTGGTCTTGGGCAAGTAATATCTTTGTATTCATCT